CAGCAACCCGGCCCCCGGCTCAAAAAGGTTGCCTATCCCTGAATTAAACAATCGATAGTGTTAAAACCATTTAAAAAATTGTTGAAAGGCAGGATATTAAAAAAAATAACAACGCACCATGGAAAAGTTCATTGCTTTCTTGATTGTTTTCTAGCTGTATTTTTGTTTTAATAATGTTGGGAGCCGGGTTGGGTCCCATATTGGAAGACATGCTGAATAACAATAAGAACAGCAGCAATAATAATTTTTTAAAAGTGAAATAAAAGCAGCAACAGCATCCTTACGTCTGTTTAGGTGTGTTTAATTAAGTAAGAACAGTAACAATAATTAAAAAAAATAAAATAAAAGCAGTAGCAGCACCCTTATGTCTGTGTAAGTAGAACAACCACAACAGGAAGGTTTCACAAACAATACCAAAGGTAGAAGGGAGAAACTAACAAAGTTCTGAGATATGGTATGTTAACCAAATATTATATATCCCAAATAAATGAAACTACCCCTTAAACATGATACTGAATTATATTTTACAATGACACTATGTAGCTAACAGTGAAAACATCAAATACCTATACAAAATACCAAGTAAAACAGAGGGGGGTTGCAGACTGCCAGAAATAGTGCAAATTGAGTCCACTTTTAGGGTTAGGGTTAGGGTTAGTGCTAGGGAATCATGGGAATTGTGTTTTTTTTTCTGAGACATTGAGCCTTCTCTGTCAGAGAGCTCTGGTGCCACAATAAAATACAGTTCCCATGATTCCCTAGCACTAACCCTAACCCTAAAAGTGGACTCAATTTGCACTATTTCTGGCAGTCTGCAAAGGCCCTGAGTTTCTCAATTAAAGTCCAAATATTATCCCAAGTCCTTCTGGCCTCTGCTGCAGAAAACACATAGTTGTAAATGGAGGTTGGTAGACTTAATTTCACAGATGGTAAGTAATGTTCTCTTTAGTCTACACAGTAAGGTTGTTATATCAGTGATGAGTAACAAGCAAGTAGCAAATAAATGAATACTGTGGAAGAAAAATAATTCTGTAAAATATAATCCAGTATCATGTTTAAGTGGTGGTTTCATTTATTTGGTATATCTTATTTAGTTAACATACCATATCTCAATACATTGTTACTCAGTACTTCTTTCTTTGGTATTAAGTATACCTCCATCCTTCAACTCTGGTAGCACAAAATTGTCTCCTTTGCCCTTTTCTCTCGTCTTGCTGAAATTCAAAAATGTGAGTGCAATCCGGAGCACACATGGCCCATAGGCTGTTTCACACTACACAATTATAGCACTCTAATTCCATTTGAACTGCCATGGCAACATCCTGTGGGGTCCTGGGATTTATAGTTTGGGGAGGCACTAGATCCTTCTGGCTGAGAATTCTAAACACCCCTCCCTAAACTGACAATCCCAAGATTCCATAGGATGTGAAGTCATAGGGCTTTCATGGCCGGCATCCATAGGTTTTTTGGGTTTTGGGGGGCTGTGTGGCCACGTTCTAGAAGAGTTTCTTTCTGATGTTTTGCCAGCATCTGTGGCTGGCATCTTCAGAGAATACTGGAATGAAAGAGAGTGGGTCTATAAATACTGTGAGACCCTGGGTAGGGAGGGGGGATTCCCATGTAAACTGTGTATTGTCCTGTGTTGAATAGGTTTTGTTCTGTTGTTAATGGCATGGCTTCAGGGTGGAAGGATATGCAAACAAGGATATTGTCTGCTATTGTCTGCTGGGAAAGCCCCTGACCCTGGTTGGTTTCCCATTTGCATTTGCTGAGTGCTGATTTTCTTATTTTGTAGGACTGGTAGCCAAATCTTGTTTATTCCATAGAATGTTCAAGTGGAATCATAGGCTGCAGCCACATTGCAGAATTCATGCAGTTTCACACAGCTTTAGCCATGTTAGTCTGTAGAATCAGTATGTAGAGAGATCTTGTAGCTCCTTTGAAAGAAGCTGGCAGCATGTGCTTTTGTAAACTTAAGTTTGCTTCCTCAGATGCATGGCATATATATGTCTGTCCCTGGTTTCCACTCCACTAAATGCATCTGAGGAAGTAGACTGAAGTCTATGAAAGCTCATGCTGCCAACTTCTTTCTTTCAGTTAGTCTCAAAGGTGCTACAAAATCTCTCGACATACTAAAGAATCCTGGGATTTGCAGTTTGTTGTGGCACCAGGGCTTTTTGCCACAGAATGCTAAATATCTCACAAAACTACAAACCCCATAGCACTGAAGCATAGCAGTCAAAGCAGTGTCAGACTGCATTAATTCTGTAGTGCAGATGCAACCATAGTGCTACAATTGTGTAGCATTGAAAGTGTTTTGACTGTTTATGGTTGGATGCTTCCTTTTTGCTTCCTCATTGTGTGTTGCGTGTCTTCAAGTCGTTTCCGACTTACGGCAACCTTGAGGCTAACCTATCATGGGGTTTTCTTGGCAAGATTTGTTCAGAAGAGGTTTGCCATTGCTTTCTCCAAGGGCTGAAAGAGTGTTACTTGCTCATGGTCATCCAGTGGGTTTTATGGCCAAGCAGGAATTGAACCCTGACCTCCAGAGTTACAGTCCAACACTCAAAACCACTACGCCATACTGGCTTTCCTTCCCCAGCCTTTTTTGCTGTCCTGGTCAGTCGGGCAAACCTTTTTGTTCGGCTGGTCCCTCCTCCACTTCCCCCCATCCCAAAAATGTAGGGTTTTGCCCATGGGAAATGCAATGCCTCCTTGCTACTTGGGAGCCTGGGAAATTTAAATTTTAAAAAACCAAAGCAACCAGGGTTGAGTTAAAAGCAAACATCTCTTGCCTGCGGGCTGAGGATAAACACTGGAGTATTCTTAGTAACCCAAGTGGAGTTGAATCAAAGCGACTCTGATTTATGCTTGCCTTCCCTTTGGAGATGTGACGCCTTCCACTTTCCTTACCCGTGGGAGAACAACTCCATAGGCAAAGGGGAAGGCAAAACCACTATCCCTGGAGCATGAATCCAATTTCTGCAGTTTAGATTCTATATTCAGCCCCTGCCCTGGGATTCCCAGGTAGTGGCAATACTAGGTAGCTTTTGCAGACATAAAGGCAATGGTCAGAGGTGGCGTGGGGGGATTTCTTTGGGGGGGGTTGCCATTGCCTTCCCCTGAGGCTGAGAGAGTGTGCCTTGCCCAAGGTCAGCCAGTGGGTTTCCATGGCTCAGCTGGGATTCAAACCCTGTTCTCCCAGTGTCCTTGTCCAACACTCCAACCACTATGCCACACTGACTCTTGTGTTAGCATTTGTTGTTGTGTGACTTCGAGTTGTTTCTGAATTATGCTGACCCTAAGGCAAACCTTAGAATGAAGACATGAAATCATAAAAGAAGTCCCATACCTGGGATCAAACATTGATAGAAATGGGAACTACAGTCAGGAAATCAGAAGAAGACTAAGAATGGAGAGGATGGTTATGAAAGAACTAGAAAAGATCCTAAAATGCAAAGACATACAAATCAGCACAAAAGTCAGAATCATACAAGCCATTGTCTTCCCTATTATCACGTATGGATGTGAGAGCTGGACAGTCAAGAAAGAAGATAGGAGGAAAATCAACGCATTTGAGATAATGTGGGGCTAGAGAAGAGTGCTGAGGATCCCATGGACAGCCAAAAGGACAAACAAGTGGATCCTAGAGGAGATCTAGCCGGAAACCTCCCTAGGAGAAGCCAAGATGACCAAACTGAGGCTGTCGTACTTTGGACACATGCTGAAAAGAGAGGACTCTTTGGAAAAGACAATAATGCTGGGGAAGGTGGAGGGAAGGAGGAAGAGGAAGGCCACAGGCCAGATGGAGGGACTCTATTATTAAGGAGGTCACTATGGGATTTATTAAGGGCTTGCAGGAATGAATCTGAGCAGGTCGGGACAGAGGGTCTTCTTGGAGAGGTCTCATTCATAGGATCAGCATGGATTGAGATCGATTCAAGGCAGTTAACAACAACAACAAAGGCAAACCTATCACAGGGTTTTCTTAGCATATTTCTTCAGAGGGGGTTTGCCACTGCCATCCTATGAGGCTGAGAGAATGTGACTTTCCCAAGGCCCTTCTACCATTTACATCACAGAGGCTTCTCAAGGGACTCATTGTGTATACACACACGCGCACACACACACACGGCAATGACTGACACACTGGTGAATTTTTAACATTGTTTTGGAGAAAAGGCAAGGGCCACATCCTTTGTTGGTTATTGATTGGCTATTATTGGCATGTTTTACTATTTTTTGTTGCTTTGTGCTTTCAAGTAATTTCCGACTTATGGTGACACTAAGGTGAGAATCTACCATGGGGGTTTCTTGGCAGGTTTATTAAGGCTGAAAGATGTGACTTGCCCAAGGTCACCCAGTTGTTTTCTCTGGCAGAGAGGAGATTCGAATCCTGGTTTCCAGAGTTGTAGTCCAACACTCAAACTACTGCACCATACTGCTTCTCTAGGGTATTACCGTTCTGTTGATTTATGGTGACCCCATGGATTTCACAGGGTTTTCTTAGGCAAGGAAGTCATAGAGGTTGCCATATCCTACCTCTGGAATATAGTCTATGCCAGGGATTCATTGGCAGTCTCCCATCCAAGTACTAGTAAGCTTCCAAGATCAGATGGGATCTGGTACCTGTAGGGCTTTTATCATCACATTTCTTCCCCTGAAATGACTTTTAACATCTGTGCCTGATGAAGAAGCTTGTGAGCTTTGGAAGCTTGCTTAATATATTCTGAGCCTTTTGGTTGGCCTATTAAAGTTATGACTGTGTGTGTGTGTGTGTGTGTGTGTGTGTGTGTGTGTTGGATTTTGCTAGATTTTGCTTTATAGCCAACTGGGATAGCCACGGGGGGATACTGCAGAAAGCCAGGGTTGAAGAAAAAGGGTAAAAAACAGACTCCTGCTGACACCCTTGAATAAATCAAGCCTGAAATTCCTCTAGAAGCCAAGATGATCAAATGGAGGTTGTCGTACTTTGGCCACATCATGAGAAGGCATGAATGACTAGAAAAGACAATAATGCTGGGAAAGGTAAAAGGCAGTAGAAAGAGAGGAAGGCTGCATGTCAGATGGATGGACTGTATTCAGGAGGTCATGGGTATGAATTTGCAGGACGTAAGCAGAGCAGTGGAAGATAGGGGGTCTTAGAGATGTCTCATCTACAGGGTCACCATGAGTTGACGTTGACTCAAGGGCAATGTAAAGAAGGACTTGAACGTGGGAAATTACCAAAGTTGAAGTCTTCTATGGGACCTTTTATCCTATGTTTACAGAGGTGGCTAGGGGAATAGACTGATAGAGACAAAGATTTCCAATGAACTGTAATTTATTTGGGGGATTCAAACATACAAAGACACTTTATCATACACTCATACACACAACTCAGGAATAAACTCAGGAATAAAGTAGTTAGCTTGGAGAGGAAACACAAGACTTTCT